CCCTACCTGCGGTGGCCTGCGGGCAGGCGGGCGTCGGAGCGTCCTGCGCTCGAAGGGAGGCGGCGGACTGCTCCCAGCCGAGGCATCCCTGCATTTATTTGAGCTCAAACCGAGCGACTGTTGACTTTAGCACACAAAGCAAAGATTTCACTGCCCGCTAGTTTAAAAATGAATATTTTACCAAGATATCGATCAGCGTTATAAAATTCAGTTAAGTACAATGGGATCCTGAAAAAAAAGAATAATAAAGGAGGGGGGAGGCAATATAATATCTGTGCAAATTTGCTGAAGTGTGACGTGGCATGGAAAGTTTACCCTCCTGGAATTCGGATCTAGAATGTTTTTTTCGGTTGTTTACTGACTTTGTTTATTCACAGATCACGGTTGCTTAAACTCGCGCAAGGAAGGCGACGGGCAACAGGAAGAAAAAGAGGGGGGGAGCCGCTGCACCCTGCAATGTGTCGAGTTGGGGGGGTCTCTGAGCTCCTAAACTTGGAAACTAGGGGAGGGAACTGATGTGGGGAGGGGAGAAGACACCAGAAGGGCAGAAAAGCCTCGAGGGCGCAGCTCCCCGACATCCTTTTTATGTATTCGCACAGAACTATATCTCTTGGGCAGGGATCAGTGGAGGGGGGGCGCGCTAAGTAGTTTAAAACGACCCTCGAACAATGGGCGCGCGATAAGAAACATAGCAGGTTAGGGCAGCGCTTTCAGCCTCTATTGTCCCCCACTCAGCCCCCGGCCCTGCCTCTCGGCTCCTTCGCCACAGGAGCCTTTTATGTGATAATGAAACACATTTCAGGCAGAGCTCGCGACGTGTGTGTCCTGGCCAGGCAAAGAGAAGGCCTGATTGCTGGCCGCGGCCTGCGGGTTCCCCCTCCTTCAATTTCTCTTCCTTGTGTTCTTCGGAACAATGTGGCTTGTTAAAAGGGGATTTGGGGGGGGGGGGGGGAAGAAGCACACACACAGCGACACACCACCACCACACACGCGCGCACACACACACACACACACACACGAGAAGGCTAGGCCTAAGGAGGAGGGAAAGGGATGAGCAAGGTGTCAGAAAGCTATCAGAGAGGTGGTCTCTTGGACTGAGGTTCTTGTGGGGCAGACAGGCTGGAAACGTTAGGAATAGCCAGATGTCAGGTCTGAGCTTCAGCCTAGATTAGAAACACCTCTGATGCCTGCTTGGGTTTTTAAACAACGAAAACTTTTTTTATTTCCCATGGGATTGGCTCCAAAGTCAGACTGGAGGGGGAATAAATGCTGCTTCCTACCTTAGCCCAGACAGCTTGCAGGGCAGGAGATGCAAGCCAGTGTGAAGAGGTTCCCTTTGCAAAGCCCAACTAACTCTGCCAGAGTTAGTTACCTGTCAAATGTGGAGCACCTGAAGAGAGGTGGTAAGATTTTATTGTATTTCCCCAGAGGCTCACAAAATACCCATTCAGTCCTTGGGCCACAATCCCGGCTTGTCTATTTGAACTTCTGAGATAAGAGAGGGCTTTGTTAGGGCCACAAGGGTTACCTGGTAGAAGGGGACACCAATCTTGACACACTGGGATCTCACTACTTTTGGAGTCATTTGGTAAGCTGCTCAAGGCACCCTATACTACCTCCTCATCCCCCAATATAGCTTTATAAAAGGAGATTTGGAGGTCATCCTGAGCTGTGCAGCTAAAACCAATTCCAGAACAATATTTAGAATGTTTCCTCCGATTAGGTGTCTCGCCATCTCTAGACTAGCAAGGCTTCCCAACATCAGAATAATAACTGTGAGAGGAGTGAGACAAGCTGGTGTGTGTGTGTGTGTGTGTGTGTGTGTGTGTGTGTGTGTTTGGGGGGGTGTCACAGACTGGAGCCACCAGTGATCTCGATTCCACTGGAAGGTCAAGGGGTTTGTATGCCAGAAGTAGTTGTGAAGAGCCAAAACGGATGCACCAAGATTTGTAAATCCTGCCTAGGCACGCTGACTAGTCAAGAAGCCTAAGATTAAAATAAATAAATAAATAAAGCTAACACGTACAAACTTCTGCCTTTCCCCTGGCACAGCCAGCCCTAGAGCCCAAGGGCCTGCCTGTGCATTGGCACACCTTCCAGTAATTCAGGTGGAAAATAACGATAGGTGAACTCAAGAGAGTGTTTTTGCTCCTGGCTTTACAAATAACATTAGTGGACTTTAGCAGGGTTGGAGGCACAGGCCTGTAATCCTAGCGCTGGAGAGACAGAGATAGGAGAATGGTCTTCATAGTGAGTTCTAGGCCAGTCAGGGCTACTTAGGATCTCTTCACTTTAATACAAATAGCGATATGCCTAAAGACAATGGTATGGGAGTGTTCTGTCATGTTTAGTAATAGTAACCTGAAAATTTCAAAAGTGGCCATGAACAATTTTAATATGTTTACTGATGTGGTTGCTGCATTATTTGGGGATTGTCTCCCATTTGCTCTGAACAATGCATTTAGGGAGGCAAGATGGGGGTGTGGCCAGGTGGGCAAACATGGGGAATGGGAGATGTTCCTAGGACTGGGCAGTGGTGCTTACAGGAATATCCATTCTACTTTGATATTTAAATAAAATGTTTTGTAAACAGCAACTGACCCCCAGCCTCCCACAAAATCCCTGCACCAGACTCCTACCTCTTGCAATAATTTATAGACCTGTTTAAATTTTAAGGAGAGAAAGAGAAGAGAGGGAGGGAGAGGGAGGGAGGGAGGGAGGGAGAGAGAGAGAGAGAGAGAGAGAGAGAGAGAGAGAGAGAGAGAGAGAGAGAGAGAGAGAGAAAGAGAGAGAGATGTCAGAAGAAAAGGACCCAAGGGGTAAAATCAGCAATAACACTTTAATATAGATTTGTGGAACTCTGGCCGTTCTAGCCAGAAAACACATTTATAAGCCATAAATAAAGCACGCAGAAACCATAAATTAAACCAGACCAGAGACCTGGATTTTACCATGTCCAGAATGGGATGCATTTTTTTCTTTCTCCTGGTCATTTACACCAGACTCTCTTACATTATTGTTTTTCTCCTTTTAAACATCAGTACAACCCTCTGTTAAAACTACATGGTTTTACACCAAGTCACTCACAAAAGTTTTTGTTTTAAGTCAGACTTCCCTGCAACATCAACAATAGAGAACGACAACAAAAATCAGAATCTGCAGGTGCCTTGAGGAGGAGTCTACAGGGTGGAAACCAAAGGCTCCTTTAAAAATGTTTATATATGTATATATATGTATATATTTCCATTCTCTTCCCTATTTAGAAGGACAGATCACCGTGGACCATCTATTTAGGGGCACAGGCAGTTGGGTGAGACTGCATTCTTAGGGCCTGAAGTGTGGTGACTACTTCTTCCTCAAAGCTCTAAGTCTCCAGGCAGCCTCTCTTTTCTCTGGTCCTTCTCCTGGTGGCCAGAGCTAGCCAGGCCTAAAGCCATCTTCTTAGGAGGAGTTCATAATAGGCCTGGAGTACACTCCCTGGTAGTAGGAGGTGTCTGCAGCCAGGGGCGAGGCATCCAGGCCCGTTTTGTTCGTGACTGGGCCCATGGCCAAGCTGCCTGGCATGGGGGAACCATAACCCCCAGGGTAGTGCATGACTTGTTCATAGGCTTTGAGGTCCATTTTGTGGGGTTGATGGTGGTGGTGGCTGTGGTGGTGTTGCTGCTCGGAGGACATGAGGTTGTTGATAGAGAAGGGGTGGTTGAAGGCGTAATGGTGCTCTGGCTTCAGGTGGGCCTCCGGTGGTAGGCCCGGGTGGTGAGGTGGGCCCAGTAGGTGAGCTGCAGCTTGCTGCTGCTGCTGCCCAGGCGAGGGCGCCGGCTCTGGGGGACTCAGCGCGGAGGCCGGTGTTCCCTTCAGCTCGCCCAGGCCGCCTCGCTTGTGCTCCTGACATGGTGAAGAGCTGGAATGGGGGGACTCGGTGCCAGTCGGAGTCTCGGAGGCCGAGCCCGCGGCTTCTCCGATCTGAGCCTGCGAAGCCTGGGTCCCAGCAGCTGTCTTCTTGCCTCCGACACCGCCCGCACCCGCGGCTTCCTTCAGCGCCAGCTGCTTCTCACACTTGAAGCGTTTCTGGCGGCGCAAGTAGCAACCATTCTCGAACATGTTGCCCGAGTCGGGGTGCAGGGTCCAGAAGGAGCCCTTGCCGGGCTTGTCCGGTGAGCGGGGCACCTTGAGAAAGCAGTCGTTGAAGGACAGCGAATGACGGATGGAGTTCTGCCAGCGTTGCTGGTTCTGTCGGTAGAAAGGAAAGAGGTCCATGATCCACTGGTAGATCTCGCTCAGCGTCAACATCTTGTTGGGGCTCTGCTGGATGGCCATGGTGATGAGCGAGATGTAGGAGTAGGGAGGCTTGGCGTGTGTGTAGCTGCGTCGGTATGTCTTGGGGTCCCGCGCGCGGCTCAGGCCCGCCTGCCCGTACATGGGGCTCATTGAATTCATGTTGGCATAGGGAGCAAGGCCACCCATGGCCCCGGCCGCCTGTCCCCCGAGTGGGCTCAGACTTGGACTCAGGTGCGGTCCCATGCCGGCCACGCCGGCCGCCCCAGCTGAGCCGCTCATGCCCGCCATTGCGCCCGCGCCCGGAGACATGCCAGCTAGGGACGGGCTCATTCCAGCTCCCACATACGATGACATGTTCATGGAGCCCGCGCTCATGTTGCCGGAACCGCCTCCCATAGCGGCCGCGGACATGCTCATATAAGTGTTCATGCCGTTCATCCCCAGGCCGGCGTTCATGTTGCTCACGGAAGAGTAACCCTGAGGACAGAGCCCGGGGAGGAGACTGGTTAGCACCTAGGCTGAGCGTGTCAGACCCCCGCCTCCATACACACACCAGTTGGACCTAGTCCTCCACCTTCGTGGAGGCTTCTGGGGATCTCTTTATTTCTCTGGATCCCAATCCACCAACACCAAGTCCTCGGTACCTCAAAGAGAGCAGCAGTACGGGTGATCATCCGAGGAGAGGTGGCCAGGGGACTTGTGGCTCACTTCACGCCCAGATTCTAGAATATCGGTGCCCAGGACCACCACCAAGTCAGGCGCCCCAAATGGATTTTACTATCCTCAGAGACTCTACCAACCCCCCCACCCCCGCCGCCCCCGGGTAGCATACTGAGTCAGCACCAAGACTGGAAATCTCTGTTGCTATCCCTGGTCGCCAAAAGCCACCTTTGGAACGTCACTGGGGCGATCTCAAGTGGTA